GGGTAGGTCTGTCCAACAGGGAGGACTTGAGGTCGTAGGCCCCAGCTGGGAGAAGGGCTTAAGAGGTGGCTCCCCCTCCCAAATGAGATTATTTTAAGAACAGGAACCTCTGGATGGCCAGAAATGACACTCTCATCTTTTTCAAGTGATCTCCTTCTCAATAATACCTCCATGCTCCTATCATCATCATTGAACTGTTCCTTTTAGAATTTCATTGACTTAAAATCATAAACACCCTTGTTTCTGGTCAGTACTGTACCACTACTGAACATTTGCAAACCATCGCATGGGTTACAGTGGCAAATCCAGGGGGGTTCAGGGAGTTCAAAACACTACTGGGTCCTGGCTTACAAAATGCATGCTTACCTACCTAGGCATAGGTTGACAGATCGGACAAACTAGGCTCAGCCAACTAGCCTTCAATTAAATTAAATTATAAACACTGTTTTTGGTCCAATGTCTTAATAATTTATGTACGAAAGTGCGTTCTTCAGGCCTATCGACTCATTGATCCATAGAAGAAACACTACGTAACCAAATACTCAATTATGTTGGAATATAATAATATACTGATATGTCTTTGACTTTTTTTTATCTATGTATAGGCCTAAGAATAAGATAAAATTACATTACCTTTTTCAAGAGGGGGAAAACCTTGAATTTTGAAGAACTTAGAGGTCATTAAATGATACCTTAGAAGTCGGGAAAGCTCATTTACGGCCATCTAGGAATCAAAATTTTCCCGGACCTCCCTTTCAATTTGGGGTTTTTTGAAAACATTTTGAACCCCCCTCTTTCAAATCTCGGATCCGTCCCTGGGTTACTATTTGATTATGAGCATAGCTTCATCATTGTATCCAGCTACTTGTCTGTCTGGTGATCAGTGATTCACTAAAGTTTCTCACTTTCCCTGTAGACAGCCTATCATTCTATATGAATCATAAATTCATTTCCTTCTTGTCCACATGACAAATTTTCAATCGACATGGCTTCTCAAATTTACCCTCTCAAAAAGCCAAATCGCAGTCAAATACAAGTTTATAGTTTTCTGTCCTCACCAATATCTATGGATTGAAGTATTCAACAAATATATATCACTATAAACCTGATACACAATACTACAATCAAACAATCATGTCATTTCGGAAACAAGACTATAGATAACAAAATACACTGAAGAACCTACAATGAAAAGGCCAATCTGACAAAACAAATTAAAATGAATAATGATCTCAATCATTTTCTGATGATATATCATCCCATTAAATCATCAACTTGTCAGTGAGGTGTGGAATTTTAAAATATTAGAAATATGTACAAGTGATTTTTAAGTGAGGAAGGTTCAATTTATTTAACTTTTTACCAATTTTTATAACAAATGAAAAAAATATTTAAAAACAAAGAAAATGTAAGTGAACATCTTCCCATCTAAGGCTGTAAGATGTTTGGCTGACTGAATTAAAGAAAAAACCTTCATTACAGATTGTCTTCCCATGGAGCATAAAATCACGAAAAATGCCATTACTGTATTTAAACTAACAATTTTCACTAATTCAAACAACTATTGTCAAATAACGTTTTAATAATAATTACAGTTATGATTGTTACACATCCATATTACTTTCAGTTTTACTGTAATACAGCTTTAATCACATATGTTTAACCTTTCAATGAACTACTCACTTGTTAACTTTTTTAATTGAGTGTTTTCCAAAAATTATGAAGTATTTTGCATAAATTACAAATGATATGTTGCAAGGCATTGTGTGATTTTGTAAGTACAGTAATACTAATAGTGTATGATCCTACAGAATAGCATCAGTGTTTTTAGATATTTATGAATAAGCAAATTACAAAAAAAAAAAAACAAACACATATTATTATAGTCTGTAAGGTCAATCAGGTGACAGAAGATATTGTCTTATTGTGTTATATATTTTTACTACATTAGAAAGTTTTATCAAAGAGAAAAATATTAAAATAACTAAACAAAACCTTGACAAAATAGTAGTATAGGCTTATTTTTCAAATATTAGTACCATACATCTCATCTCACATCTCAACAAGCGAGCAGTTATTGGTAATTCCTTGAATGTGTCACCTTAACACCATTGTACATTTCACTCCATATCTCAAATAATTACTTGAATATGTCACCGTAACACCAGGGAGGTGTTACATCACCCTGGTAACACCAGACCCTGTACACCTCATCTCACATCTCAAGTAATTCCTTGAATGTGTCGCCTTAACACCATACATCTCAAGTATCCCATCCCACTTCAAGTAATTCCTTGAATGTGTCACCATAACACAATACACCTCATCTCTCATCTCAAGTAATTCCTTGAATGTGTCATCGTAACACAATACACCTCATCTCACATCTCAAGTAATTCCTTGAATGTGTCACCGTAACACAATACACCTCACCCCACATATCAAGTAATTCCTTGAATGTGTCACCGTAACACCATAGGCCTCCTGTACATCTCACCCTATATCTCAAGTAATTTCTTAAATGTGTCACCGTAACACAATACATCTCACCCCACATATCAAGTAATCCCTTGAATGTGTCACCGTAACACCATAGGCCTCCTGTACATCTCACCCTATATCTCAAGTAATTTCTTAAATGTGTCACCGTAACACAATATACCTCATCCTACATCTCAAGTAATTCCTTGAATGTGTCACCGTAACACCATAAAACTCATCCCACATCACAACACGACATGTGTTTCGTTTGAATCTTCCGCATTCCTGTACTCATTAATTTGTGAGCCAACCAAGAAAATTATCACCTGGCCCATCAGACAAAGCATTATACCAAACTTAAATTTTCTGATCAAATTAAAATTTGCAATGTCATTATAGATTTTGTTGACCTTCTGGTAAATTTCTATGAAAAAATAACAAATCTCTAGACTCACAGATGGATGATAAGAGAACTCCAGCCTTTCAGCCTCCTAACATGATGGATCCTAAACTGCAAGTTTTGTACAAGATATTGCTGAACGGAAACTGACTCTGACCTGAGCTATACGACTAATAAAATTAAGGAATTGAATAATTATTGAAATGATAAGGATATCCAAATCAGCTTTTATTAGAAAAAGTATGATATACTACAATACAAGTTCACTTTCATCCTTTTGCAGTACAGTACCTAAATTGCTTTGTTCAGTCATACATTTAAGATCATTTTTTTATTTATTCATTTCTACTTTATAACATGGTATATACTGTATTTCTTCATACCACTTTCCTTACTATAGTAACAATTATTGTGCTCACGATTTTGCCCAATGATGTATGTGTCATATCAAAGATATAGGCCTATTACAATTATCAAGAGTACAATACATAAAGATCAGTGGCGTATCTAAGAGTCTTGAAATGGGGGTGCTGATGGGGAAGGGCACGAAGGTGAAGTGGGGGGGGGGTGGGCTTGATGACCAGTTAAGGGTCTCTAATTCGCAAAATAAGGTAATTTTAGGTGATTTTTAACTACTTGACTATGATTTCTTTGGGGAAAACTGGGGGCACAAGTATTTTTTGGGGGGGGGGGCATGCGTCCCCAACGCACCTCCTTGATACGCCACTGATAAAAATTGATGTAACCTAACAAACAAATGCTGTTTCTTGACAAAAACGATTAAAACTACACATCAGACAGCACCTACATGCAAAATTTCAGTTTTCTACCAGTCATTTTACTACTAGTGTATGTGTTTACAAAGCCAACGTGACCTCTGTGACCTCACTTTTCTACGCCGACGATTACAAGGTTTATATTTTTGTAACAATATAAAAAAATATATAAATACGTTCATTAAATAATGCTGTTTACATATGCCTGAAATCAAATTATAACCATACAGACACCTAGATTTTTACATTTAGCAACTTACAGTTTGCAAGAGAAACAAAATTTATTATATCTGTAGTAGATGTTTAGTATAAAATTAGAGTTTCATTATTTGGTTTCAATTCTGTAGTCAGACGTACAATATATTAACTGGTTAAAATAAATATATAACATACTATAGTAGACTTCGTGTTTCTGTACTCTATTCATTCGAGGTTGTGTCAACGGGAGGCGCTATATAAATCCAGAATTATTATTATTATTATTATTCCTTTTCTGAATAATAAGATTTCTTATGAAAACTAATTCATGGTAAAGACCAGAGCACAGAATCCAGTTTTACATATTATTAAAAAGCGATCAATTACAAATTAAGTTTTTTAAGTTGGTTTTAAGCTGGAGGCTATTTTGTTGGCAAATAGCAGTAGCATTGGCTAATACAGATTATCACAGCAGGCTCCAGATAACAGGAAAAATAATTAATCCAAGATAGAAATAAAAAACATACCCTAATTTGTTAGAATCCAAGAAACATATTCTTCAACATTATTCTTCTTATCAGAAGCGAAGAGAATATCCAACATTCGTTTACATTTCCAGAGGACAAACAAGTTTCTTGCCTTTGATTGGGACTTTGATTTTTGGTGAGACCAACTGTGAAACACGATTCCTGTTGAGAGAAAGAAGAAAAAACTGAAATATGACAGGCTTCATATTCCTGGTCTATCATTCTAGTTAATGTTACTGCCCTTCACCACAGGTAGCTTGAGAACATTCCATTACATCAACAGGGAGACTTTAAATTTATTTTAAGAACATTTGTTGGCTTCATATTATCATATTATTAAATGAGCTCTATTATAACTTAAAATACACCCTGCAAATAGCAAATGAGTTGTTAACCCTATAATTACATTGCATATCTTGTATTTGTGCCTATCAAAATATTGGTTTACCATTTGAACTGTAATGTAGGCCTAGTTTCAAATCAAATAAGAAAATTATTATCATTTGAAATGTAAATAGACCTACTGTACATTTCAACAACATACAAGAATGATCAAGTTAATACAAAAAACTTAAGAATTTCTTGGAATCTTGGATTATAAATGGAAATTTTGATATTTTGTGCCATCGATTTTTCTACGACACAAAAGCATATTCGACGAAAAACTTGGGAATAGTTTAATGAGATACAGACTTTTGAATTTTAAAAAACTGGAGGAAAATGGTGTAACCACCATTTTTTCCAATTTCTTCTCTGATGCCCGGTTTAATATTCAAAAATCTCATTAACCGTCCCCAAGTTTTTAGACAAAAAACCTTTTTGTGTCTTAGAAAAATCAGTATTGTATGTAACATATCAAAATTTTTTTTTTTTTTTCCAAAGCTCGGCTTTTAATTAGGGCGATAGCTAGATGATCTAGATGCTTTCCTTTTATTTTTAGGTTCCTTGGTCCACATCATTCCAACACCAGGACTTTTTCTCACAAGTAAAACAAATCCACTTCCCATTGTAAGCCCCTAAGCCCATGCTAAGCCTCATATTGAGTTTATAGAAGCGCGTCACAGTTGATTCCATCCTGTAACTGGTGAGTCACTCACATGGATGAGAATTAAATAAAATAAAATAAAGCACTACACAGTTTATGTTCATTCTGGAATGACTGCATAATTTGTCTATTCTATAATTTGCACTTAAATACTGCAATTAGAATTAAATTAAATAAAGGACTGATTGTTTATGTCAATTCTACAATTTTTAATTATAGCATTGTTGCATTGAGGTACAGTACATTGGCATATCTAGACTTAGCAAAACAATTTTAAAAATAAAATATCTCTAGGTCTAAGCTGGGCAAACTCTTTGATCTTGTAGTAGCCAGGAAGAGTGTATGTAGTGGCTTATTCTTCTAAAATTACTAGTTTACATTAGTCAACTAACACAACATAAAAACTACTAATTATTTTCTTGGCGCCTCTTCCTGGACCCCACCTACCACTACTCATGGACTTGCCTCTCTCATATTAGGCTTCATTTACTCAAGTCATGCCCCCTATTTATTCAATATCACCATTTACACCATTAATATCATTTTATCAGCCTCTACAAAACAAAAGTTTATGGACAATTTCTTCTACATGGCCATCCCCAAAATCCTTATTCACTTCTAGAGCCACAACTAAATATAATTAATGTAACAAAATGCATAAAAAGAGCAATGGATAAAGTGACCAACATTGAGTTTACCGAATTCACAAAGGGAGAACGAAGATTTCAGATAGCAAGTGAATCCTAAGACTTCCTTCCCTTACAAGTTGATGAAAGCATAATCACATTAACCACCCCTATGATTTCAAAACATAATTTCCTTTTCTGAATTTTAAGCTTTATCTGATAAAAACAACAAGCAGGATTGTAAAGATGTGATAGCAAACGGAAACTTCAGGTTGAACAGAATTTGAAGCACTTAGCCGACAAGAGTATTTCATCAAGCTTTTTCCTGTCTACCTGATAGTGATGACAATCTAAAAATAAGGAAATTCTTCTCGATAAGAAGCTATTTCAATAAAATGCTACTTAAAATAATTTAATTTTCCCCCAGCTTGATATGTACCCATTGTGCCAAGCAGGAAAACCACCAGTAAGTGCCTCAGTACCAGGCCTATAGTGTCCCATGCCGCCTGGGTGAAAAAAATGAAAAGGGTCATGACAAAGGGCATTTATTTTTTGACAAATAATTGCAGGGGCGGATCCAGAGTTGTCCAAAAGGGGGCCAAAAAGGGGGCCAAAATTTGGGCTGATCGAGACAACAATGTCCTAGGGGGTCCGGGGGCATCCGGGGGATATTCTTGTGTTCTAGACGCCGGAAAATAACATTTGAGGCGTTGTGGGCTATCCTTTTTTTCTTTTTCTTTTTTTTTTTCTTTTTTTTCTTTTTTACCTCCCAAAAGGGGGGGCCGGGGCCCCCCTTCCAAATCCGCCCCTGAATTGTTTAATAGCATTTGTGGGCTTAGCCACTTGGGCCTTGTCACTCAACCCTCTAGACTATATAAGGGCCCTGGACACTATGGTGAAAAATAGCTATTGTAAGAGTGATAAAAGCATCATACATTTTGGACCAATACATTGATAACTTTAATATATAGTCTTTAATATCTTGCGCATGGGAATCAAGCAAAGTTGGAAAGTACAAAAACCCTCATGGGCCATATCACCCAACCCTACCAGGGCCCCAATTGGGCTACCCCGGCAGTGCCTCATACATCATCGCTGTATAGTAGCCCAGCAGATATGCAGCTCTGTGAACAACTGCTGCTCTCAGCAGATGCCCTGTTATACCCAAACCTATCAAGTCTTAATATTCAGTTTGTGATTCACATATCCAGCATCAAACCTCATTCAGTTGATGACTACTCTTCAGACTTTATCTAACATATCTCAAAATCTGTAACATGCAATGAAATTTTATATTTAGCCATATCAAGAAACAGATTGAGAATATCATATGTGCTGTACTTTCTGCAAAACAATCTCCTCTTCAGCATGCTCAAAACACTGCTAAAATCACTGCAGTACACTACTTGTCATTCATTATCTGTACAATTCCCGATCACTGAAAGTACAAATTACTTTTTATAACCTAAAAATCCACCAACTGACTTGTATTTTGCAGACCTTGGTCCAAGTTTCATTGAACCCTATTCAATATGCATCGGTCGAATAAATAAATGTGATCTGCTCTGGCAAAAACAGCCATTTGTTGGGAAAACTCAAAATTGAATTTTTGGTATTTTTAGATTCTGCATGAATTCTTCTTTTAACAGTATCTATTTGATGGAAATAGGTTGAGTATTTAGAGAAGTTATGAATATTCAATATATATCAGCCATGTAGGTTTTGAGATAACTGCTTCCAAAGATTCCAAAATCAATAGTTATTATTAAGATTTGTATTTTAAAAATAATTTTAATGTACTGTACTTTTCAGTTAGGTTTAGTAATTGATATTTTAATGTTCATCATTGATATTCTTCTTTTATAAATCCAGAAACCTTAAAATTTTCAAAATTCTGATTTTGAAACATTTTGGGTGCATGTTTGAAATAGTAATTGCAACAAACAGCGGGATTTTCCAGAACCGGTCACAAATGAATGTCCGCTTTGATATCAGTCATTTTCATCTCATAAACTGTGTTCTTCCTATAAACTTGTGCATGTCACAGCATCATGCATTTTCAGGCAGCATCAGTTGCATGGAATGTTCTTCCTAAGGAAATTCAAACTTCACTCAAAGTAATCCTTTTTAAGTAAAGACTTCAGTGTACTGTTAATGCATGTTTTATTTAATAATCTTGATTGATTGATCGATGCCAGTAAAATCATGTGCTTGCAAAAAAAAAAAGACAATGCACTAGTCACTGAATTCTTAGATAATCAACCTTAATCAAATATGAATAGCAGCACCCTAACATCAAGTGACGTCAGTTCAATGTGTTTGACATCCAATCAATTAAGTCATGTTTGTGTGAATTATGGATAATGCTATGTTGATGTGTCAAAACGAGGCAGACACTATTTGGGAAAAGCAACAGGGAGTCTCAGGTTTCTGTATTCACAGGTCGTATGTCAGAAAGAGTCAGAATTTTTGTTCTAATCAAAAATAATATAAATTTGTTCACAGGGTACTGCAGCACTGGTTCCAACACTTAATGCAAGTGGCAAACTTGGTACTGATATTAGCTACTCATTTGAATATTGAAAAGAAGATTTCTTTTATAGAAAAATACAAGACAAGAAGATCAACTGTAGAGTCCTTAGATGGTCAGCTTTACATACCAAAGCCAGACCAATAAGCTGAACAGTGAAAGGAAGTCTTTCCAGCATCAAGTTGGCACTTCTTTAAATACGTAATGAGACAAGAAGAATGCGTCCTTACTTCTGCCAAATTAACAATTTATGCAAATTCTTTTGACAGGCTTATATTCATAATCCAGTACTAATTTAAAAATGGTTTTACTCTTTTGTACCTTGTTTTAAATGGAAGGGAATAAAATACACATTCGCAGTTTGTATTTTATTGATTATTTCATTATGGTGTTTAGAAAAGCACATGTACACAGGTAGGTGGGTTTCAGTGGCTGACAGTGTACTGTATTGGATTCAAACTTGAGCAAACAAAATCTGAAGCCTCTTTCAAGTGATCAATTAATTGTTTATGTAAGTAATTTAGTGGTCATTCACAATTACCAACATTTTCACAAGTGTACAAGCAGTACTCTTTTTCGGTATCCCCTCCCTCCCCTCTGAAAGTGTACAAAAAATATTGACTAAGCAAAACCATTCTCCATTTTTCTGTGAAATCAATTAAGCCATGTACTTGGTTGCTTAAAAATTAATATTATATCCTGGTTACATTATAATTTTACCATTATTTTACATATTGCATGTTATTTTGAATCAAAATTTTTATGCATATGTAAAAAGTGTAAAAATCTGTCTACCCCCGCCCCCTAGCGTACTGTTTGTACACTTGTGAAAATGTTGATAATGTGGAAGAACCCCTTATGCAACTTCCATTTCTTAAGTGATAACTTTTTACAAACATAAAAGTTATAACCCAAACTAAACTAAAATATGCGCAAGGATTGTCTGAAAGTCACTATAAACACAGTCCTAGATATCGTATGTAGTAGGCATCTATGAAAGAAATACGAGGATGTGGCATGACACTGAATCCTAAACCACTGCTTTAGCCAGCGATACATTATGTATTCATGTTATTGTATATCGTATCTTTGTTACTGTTTGACTGTTAAACTTGCTAGACAAAATAAATGAAATAACCATTAAAATAAATTCCTGAAATAGACATGCATTTCTACATGAACATAAGTCATTTTCTTGTATAGTATTAATTCTGTTTAATGCAGAAAAAAAATTGACATTAATGAATAGTTACAGTAATAAATCAAGGATTGCGAGAATACTTGTGTTATTAACAGATACAGACTTACCCATAAGTTAATGGACTAGTCCAAAGTTCTGTAGACTTCAGAGCTTCTTGTTCCACAAACTGTAAAAAGAATTCAAACAATTTCAGTGGGCATCACATTACAAACAGCCAGTGAGCTATGGAAACACGGAGCATTAGAGCAGTCAATGTTATTAGGCTCTCTCTTACTTGCCCCTCAAGTAAAGCATTCAAAATTGACCTACATTTATTATTATGATTACAGTCATTTAACTCCACACATATTGCCTTATTCTCAACATTGTTCAATCCAGTAACCATTCCTCAAACTTTCAGTAGTATGGAACATTTCTGTTGCATGTAACAGCAGCATTCACTCCACCCAACCACACTCCTTATCCCAGCTACCAGATCTTTCCTGGTAAGCCCCTAAACATGTAAAATACAAACAGAATTTTACATCCTTTTCAAGTGAATAGAGATTTGTTTTCATCTAAGGATGTAGACACAATACTAATAATAGTAGTAGGCCTCACATTCATGGAGTGAGTTGTATTATTTTAAGTAACATGCTGAGTGTGTGGGCCAAAAAAGGGTACATGCATATTTCATTCCTCCATGGCCTAAGATACCCTAAAAAATTAGATAAAAATAATATCATAAAATTCACTTTCACCAAGTCCCTTCCCACTCTTACTCCTGATATTTAGAATTGCATCACTTCAGCAAAATATACAAGTACGTCACACATGATATTTTACTAGTTTGCCCAGATACACATTATGTTCCTTATAAAATACAACTCTTTTCACATGTGGTTTTTTTTTAATGCACATAATGCTGCATACCTCATGTTCACAATTGCAGTGGTGCATGAATATATCATTACACAGTAGAGTGGAAATTTCAAACTTCAATTATCTGTACTAATACATTTGTGTTTGCTATTTATTATTTTGGATTTTATTTATTCTTTAGCAAGCTTAAAATTTAATAGAACAATACAAACGAAGAGGACTATGAAATACAAACCAAGCACAGTCAGAACAGGTACAAGACAGGTTCAACCCCTATAACAAACTGTAAAACCAAAAACCCCAAAAATATATTTGAAAAAGCTACAGTATTCAAACATGACAAGTATTACGACAACGTCATATCTAAATACAAGCCTTTGTAACATTAAAATATTGTGTCTTACTATTATATAAATTTAAAACTTCTTTTTTAAAAAGTAAAATGGGATGGGATGAGATCCGAGACAGGGTATCAATTTGAGTGATGGGGTCATGGCAAGCAGAATGGGAAAAATGCTGGGGCCATGGAGTCATGGGTACCTGGTGGGAGATAATCCTGGAGGAAAATCAGCAGTTTTGTATATTCTTACAGGGGTCCCAAGTTGAAAGAAGTCATTTCCAGGAGATCTAGTAACAGTGGCTGATCCAAGAATTCAAAATAGGGGTTGGGGAGGGTCAGCCCCACCTTGGTTGGGGCTGAGGTAGGAAAGTTTGATTATGATACTTATAGACTGCCGGAAATGACACTCTCAAACATAAATTTTAGAATATAATTTTCCTTTTTCCCATTTTGTTTATACTGTAATTTTGAAAAAAAATTAGGACCTCACATTGAATGCTCTACTGATCTGCAGTGGTTGACTTAAACTTAATTTTATATATGACTGCATACAGTGATACCCATCGGCACTGACTTCCATGAAACAATTGATAATAAAATATTTATAACCCGCAAATATCAGTGAATTTGAGGGAGATGGGTTATTTCCGGGAGATTCTTGAGAGAAGTTATGAGTGTGAAATATTTGAGATGGCAAATTTACTGACTGCATTCTTACATCCTTATGCAAATTAATTAATTAACTTAATCTATATTCGTAATTAGCATTATTACGATGGGTACATTATCAGGCATATATGTCAACAATGCAGTGGATTGCGATCTTGTATAGATGAAAGTGTATTAGTTATTAGTTAAATGTAAATAAGCTAAAACACATGTGACTTAGATAAGTGTTATCAAGTAGAATAGAGCACTAACAACAACACTGTTGGCTGTAGTTTAAATTACGGTGCCTGCAAGCAGATTACCGAGGGGCTTTTAAAAATTAGGTAAATTTCTTTCACACTTTAAATTGATTATAATTGTTAAATGCAATGATAATTTCATGAATTAAACTTTGAACTTTTATAATTATTACATCCTTAAATTGATAAATATTTGTTTCTAATCCTGAAAGATATATTACCTAAAAAATATCTCTTACATTTTGCACTGTTATAAAAACTGTTTGGAAAGTGATATTAATGGTCATTTTTATGCATACCCTACATCATGTTATTAGTCATGTCAAACACACATTGCAGTTCAATCGCTTCATGAGAAAAATTCAACTTTTTCCTTCAAACAATTACATGCAATTAAAATTTAATAATATATAACTTAAGCCCCTGCGGCCTCCCTTATGGTGCCGCCACTGTTAGTAATTTAATTTGAAAGCTTCATCATTAACAAGTATTTATATTATTTCATCAAATTTTGAAAGCGAAAGTATGAAAGGGGGAACTTAAAGGCCACATATATTACCGGTAGTTAATCAAATTCAATTTATATATTCCTAACTTTCCTACATAAAAAAACAACAAAACAGTTTTTTCGCTAAATAAATATAATTAATATTTTTAGCATTCATTTACACTGTAAATAACTGCTAAGTAGGTTTAACTACTGTACTAATATTCAAGTAATCTTCATAAAGAATAATATTATTAATATTATAATGATTAATACTTTACTATTATAATGATTAATATTTACATAAACTTTTGAACATTCTTGCAGTGAGTAGAAGCATAGAGATATAGCTATAATCTCCATGGTAGAAGCTGTGTGAGAGGTGCAATGTATACTTACTGGATAAACCGATAAGTGCCCAAGTTTCCTGTGGAACTTACCTCACAACAAGGCCGTTGGATCAAAAATATAAAAAAAATAATAATTTGCCTATCTAAATGTTGTTTTGACTGCCAATTAATCCCTAATATTGTCGTCTAATAGCACATTTTGGACCACACTAAGCCATAAAAACTCTCCCTGTGAACCCTACAAGGGAGTTTTTATTCTGGGGCGTTGACTGAGGCTTTGCCGGCCCTTGGTTCAGACCCCTCCGTTGGACATGTCAGACTCCTTGTTGGCAAATTTCTGGCACCACCGCTGACGCTAGACCTTTGAGTTGGAATCCCTGAACTATTAAAACTAAGTATGGTAGGCCGTCAACTCTGGGGAGTTCATCTACCCTTTTTTTCTGTTGATTCCATATGATAAATATTTGCTTTGCAAATTATTGTTGCAAATTAGTTCTAAAATCTACTAATTCTTAGGTTCATTAAAATAAAATGATTTCGTCATTGTATGACTTGGACACAATTTTATGTCTATGGCACTAGTAGATGTCCACAAATGGCACTTTTTAGTGTAATTTGAATTGAATTTTCTTCCTAACCCTCTGAATCCAATGTTTGCAGGTTTGTGCACATAACATGAATGAATGCCTTCAGAGAGAAATGCAATGAATTGACATGAAAAGCAAGTTTTGTTCAGCATGAAAATATTGTATATTAGTTAGCATGCTCCAAGAACCACTTTAGGATCCAAAATATAGCGTTAAAAGGAAGAAAAAAATACTTGTGTATTTATATAGGTCACACCAATTGGTTTAAATGTACCAAAAATGGCTTCGATAGAATATAGAGAGAATCAATTTTATTTATTATATACTGTAGATGCTCATAGTGCTGATCTTTGATGTTAGAGAATGTGGGCCATTACTATAGCCCAATTACCAATTCATCATAAAGGTTTTATGACTAACAGCCTTCTAAACAAGCCATTTCTATTCTAAAAAATGACCACCTACATGATATCCGTTAGTAAGATCATTGCTTCAAAATGTTTTTAAAAAAAAAAAAACTTTTTTTTCCCAGAATATGTTAAACATTTATACTATACTTCATGAGAAGCATTCTACCTATATATTATTAACTTACCACATCAGGACGGTACAGTATAAAGCTACAATAATGCTGAGCTATTAATTATGACATGTCCCAATGTAAAACACAGTAGTTTTTTCATTGGTGGAGTGCAAAGGTCATAACATTATGGTTCACAAACAGGATTGTTACACAGCTAGAGCCTCTCCAGAGACATGCAGACCTAGTTTACACTGTAAATTTGTCAGTTAAAGCAATATTAATTCGGTATTAAAGAGTTGCAATATTATTCTAGTTTTCACATAAAAAAATATTTACTACTTTTAGTACATTTCTCAACACTTTGCTTATATAGGCCTCTCTAGATAGTAGGCCTATCATTATTGTTGTCCTTTATTGCAGCATTAACGAATAAGTATAAATTGTTTCTTAATATTCTTTTAAGCACATGATATATAATGCTGTATTGACTTAGAATTGAGTTGGAAAATGAGGAATGGAAAACGATTTGCTGAAGGATTTCAACAAAAAATACAAAATACCAATGATTAGTACAGAATCATTACAATAATTCTTTCTCTAATTTTTTTTTAATTTTTTTTTTTTTTGAAAATGATAAAAATTAAGGAATTTGAACTTTTGGTGTAATTTTTGTGGAAAAACTAAAGAAACAATTACACATTTATAGGATTATCCCGCATTAGCAGAAAAGCCATTGTTTTATTTTCATTCTATCCCGTTTCACATGTTTATTCTGTCTCTCATTTAGGTCACTTTCCGTGCTTGAATCTTCTTCAAAAATTATCTAACCAGCGACTAGCATACCAAAGATGTGCATATTAAAATATGACATTCTTTCTACATATTTTAATATTAATAAACAGGTAATTTAACTTTTATGTTAACACAAATTGCATTTTCTAAAGTGTTTCAAACTATATTAGAAACAAAATTACTGTGAAATAGTAAGTCTAGTTTTTTGTTTTGATTTTTTTTTTTTTGCTTTCTTTCAGTTGATGGGATTTATTTCCTTGATCTTGTCTTTGGTTTGATATTTGGTTAAAGGGTTTTTGTGTGTTTTTAAAAGTAATT